GCATTTTAATCAATCACAGAACTATTGCAGTCTGGATTGCACAGTCTAACCATAGAGCAATATGACGTATCCTCAGGGAAACTAAGCAGCCTGTGAAATCACTTAGATAGATGTGATTGGATGAAAGTATTTCTTTATCAACTGTGCTTAGGAGTGAAAATAAATGTTTACGTAACTTTGTAATAATAAGAGTTTTATTTTAAGTATAGTTCTAATTAGCAATTTGCCGGCGGTATAAGGTTTAGTTAATTCGTTTCTGAGTATACAGATTAAAATAAAGTGTATCAATATAATATTTACAGACGAGAGTATACATATATCAAGCTAAACTCTGATAAAATCTAAAAGTTTGTGAGGAGGAAATAAGTAATGTTTGTTACTCTTTCACGCTTAATTTACTGAACCGAATTTCATTAAAATTTGTACATGAAGACATAGTTTGAACCCAGAGAAAAACATGATTGTTCTTATCTTGGTTTTTGAAGGGAACTTTCTGTAACAGACCAAAATTGATGTGTGAATGAAGCAGCCGGTAAAAAGTTGTCTTAAATGGTTGTTAAAGGTGTAATTTTGCAACAAATTGTGGTCTGACGTGCTATCGAGTGTTTGTTGGCTTGTTCTCCAAAGTTCCAGCACAGGTCCCGGCGCGGCCGCTGATCGATCACGCGCGACACTGAACACTCCGGATTAGCCGCAGCTATCAGCGTGATGCATCGCCTCTATTGTGCTTAGTTCGGTACTTGCCTTAGAATCTAGCTAAGCATGTTTATGTATCTCTTAACTGCTTGTGCTTAAAGAAGCATCCCTTTTTATTAAGATGATTTTTCTTTAATAGTAAAACATCAAATACTTATCATACATCTGCATATTATGATTTGTCTAAAGCTATTGACATAAGATAACACATACAAACCCAAACATGCACGCTAAAATTGTAAGTAAATCGTTTGTATTAGCTGCAAGATATTTGCTTGTACGCATTAGATAATTTCTATCTGATCATGTATCAATATGATGATTCTAGGTCAGATACCAATATGGGTTCTACAGGGACCTATAATGGGGCCTTTACTATTCCTCATTAGCGAAAATGATGTTATGTGTAAATTAAAAGACGGGAGATTATTATTATTGTCTTAAGATTTAAGCTCAAAACAATAGGTTTATTGAGAGCTAATTAATATGTTCGTGAGTCCAGCACAGGTCCCGGCCGCTGATCGATCACGCGCGACACTGAACACTCCGGATTAGCCGCAGCTATCAGCGTGATGCATCGCCTCTATTGTGCTTAGTTCGGTACTTGCCTTAGATTATATCTAGCTAGTTATTGTCTATGTACTTATCTCTAACTGCTTGTGCTCCTTTAATAGTCAACTTAATGGAAAGTAATGAAACGTCGCCGCGTCGTACATTTGCATATTATGATTTGTCTAAAGCTATTGACATAAAATAACACATGCAAAACCAAATATGTATGCTCAAAATTATAAGTACGCAAGGGCGTACAAGCTAATATCTTGTATCTAAAACTCATAATAGTACCTAAAAATACTTAATAATTATCTATCTGATCATGTATCAATATGATGATATGGGTTCTACAGGGACCTATACTAGGACCTCTACTATTCCTCATTAGCGAAAATGATGTTAAGTGTAAATGATTAGACGGGAGAGGTTTGTCTTAAGATTTAAGCTCAAAACAATAGGTCTATTGAGAGCTAATTAATATGTTCGTGAGTCCAGCACAGGTCCCGGCCGCTGATTGATCACGCGCGACACTGAACACTCCGGATTAGCCGCAGCTATCAGCGTGATGCATCGCCTCTATTGTACGCTGTCTGGGGTTCGAGTATTCCTTGCTGGTAATACATAGATATAGGCAATACGTATAATTTAAGGGATTTGGTTTGCATTAAATTCAACGTTTCGCTTACAGTCAACAAGCAACCGTAATCGCCATAGATCAATGAGAAGGACAATGTATTAATAATACCACGTACTTATATTTTTACATGTACTAAGTTTATAATTTTCAAGTGGAAGTACAATATGTTGACATATGTAATTTTTATAGTTAGTATTCTATTTAATGTTACACTAAAAGTCACAAAATGTAAGTAGGACATTACATGTTTTTGTTGCAAATAAATTATTGTGATAAAATAGTTTAATGTAATTGGAATGAAGTTGTATTGTATTACTCATTTTCATGTATTCCATTCATCAAAATTGATATTAATTAACAACATTTTAAATTAAGTTTGTTTGATTTTAATACCTTCATTGTGTTCATAATTTTATTACTCTGCAAATTCTGCAATGCAATGAGCGAATATTTAAAAATATTAAAATCTTGTAATTTCAAAGCTTTTATCGTTTGTTTCGCTTTACAAGTTATTTTTGATTACTTTTCAATCTAATTGACTTCAATTTTTAATTAAAACTGTGAAGATGAAAACGTAAAAACAAGTCAAATAACTGGCTGTTGAGGCAATATTTAAAGAATTTAGGAATAAACACTAAAAAGAGGAAAAAATATAACAACATGTTGTATTGGAAACATAAGTACCTATGCCGAATTCAACTTAACATTTGATTAACCACCAGTACAGTTACAACAAAAAAGTTTGTAAAAAAAGTTACAACTGTGAATGAAACAAAAATTCTCCCCCATAATACGCCGGCGGCGAAAGGCGCAACTCACGGTTCACGCCGCCAGGGGGAGCCACTTGAAAACATGCTTTTTCCAGGTAATGCCTTTGAGGAAATTAAATAAACTGCAACACCGCATCATAAGCATCCTTACAGGAGCGCCGTGCGAGACTGGTTTGTTTCCATTGACGTAGTACGACACGAGAATTTTCGCTATACCTGTAGTTTACGAATTTCTATGAAAACGACTACCACTTAATGAAAATGTGAATTGTTTTGAAAGTGTATTAAATCCTACTTGTATTGTTACATCGACTTCTCAGTTAGCAATCTCAGATTATAGTGTTAGTTCTTACCAATCAATTTGTAAAGAATTTAAACGGCGATCTCTGTCCAAATTGATGTAGCCATGAATTTTCCTCAAACTGTAACTATAGAAAGCCCTAAATAGCTGACCCAGCAAACGATTTTGCACAAAAGGGTATGAAAAATAGTTTGAGTCTTATTCTCAGACCTATTGAATATAAATCTATACACAAAAGAAGAACGGTCATCTGTGACCCAGGCCCGACAGAAACGAGACATACCTCATTTTTTTTGTCATGTCTTAATTAGTTAAATTATATATTTTTTATATTTTAGAAATCTATGTATAACACCAAAATATTAACCTTTGTTTTTGTTCAGGCCTTATACAAAAACTAATACAAAATGCCTATTTATCACCAAAATTGGTAAATGTATGTACCTAAATGTCTATTACAGCTGCTATGGAATGTATCTAAGTGACCTGGAGATACAGCCGGATTATACAGGGTGGAAATAAGAAGTTACAAAATCCAAAAATTCAATGTTACCAGCTTCCATAATCTGTAACCTATTATTGGTACCATTTGAAAGAGCTCGTGAAGCACTTTCAGAATCAGTAATTAGTTTTTCGATATCTTGTATAGTTTAGAAATAATCGAGTGAGATCACTTATCGTTCCATATGTATAACCACCCTGTATAATCCGGCTTTATCTCCATGTCACCTAGATACATTCCATAGCAGCTGTAATAGACATTTAGGTACATACATTTACCAATTTTGGTGATAAATAGGCATTTTGTATTAGTTTTTGCATAACGCCTGAACAAAAACAAAGGGTAATATTTTGGTGTTATACATAGATTTCGAATATAAAAAATATATAATTTAACTAATTAAGACATGACAAAAAAACTGAGGTATGTCTCGTTTCTGTCGGGCCTGGGTTTTTTTTGTGTGGGGCGTGACCGTTCTTCTTTCATAAGAAGAATCGGTAAAACACCGTTTCGGAGGAGTTTTGTTATAAACACGAGATTTTTTTTGTAGATTCATTAGTATCATAGTATTATTCTAATTTTTATAGTCTTGCTAATGGAAACGCTCAGTTCACATCGCAATGTAGGGATGGTGCGCGGTTCCCGGCTTCCTTTTATTTGGGGCAAATGCGATTTTAGCTTACATCCCCTGCGTTCGAATACTCAAAGCATGAACGAACGTGTCTTATTCTAGCTAGAGGAATGTTCGACTGAAGTGGAGTTTTGAAGCGTGATATTTGATGAAGAAGAGTACTATTGAGCGCTAAAATTAAAACAAGGCGAAAATATTGGACTCTACTTACTTTTCAAAAAATGTCTCTACTTATTTTCTTGTTAGAATGTCTAATGCTAATGAATATTATTGTATTTTCATTGTCTTCTTACTACATAACAAGATGTGCACAGTATAACTAGGTGAGTAACATGAGTTGCTGTGAAAATAACTCATTGTACCTAGTCCTTTCCTCAATATTTTTTTTATAGATGGCACACAGTCCTTCAATACAAGATGGATTGGGCAATCGAGATTTTTTAGTTACCTAAGTATTCGTATTTTCTCAAAAATTACAGGCTAATTTAGAAAAACAAAACATGCGTGTATTTTAATAGGTATAACTTGGTATTCTAATTGCTACCAAAAAACTCTATGAAGGACGCGGGAAGCACCTGGATGCGGGCAGCGCAGGACCGGTCGTTGTAGAAGTCCACGGTTTTGTCTAGTAGTGTACATATCCCTTTGCAGAAACGTTGTCTAATTCTCAAACCACCAGATATGTCCACCAAGCGGTATTCTCGAGTTTGAGTTACTGTTCTCTTACACTGTGCCACACAACTGTTTATTAAATAAAACAACTGACAAAAGTGTTTACTCCTCTACAATGTATTGTGATTTAAAACAATGGTTAGTTTACATCTAATCTAGATTATTTTTATACACACAGACTGCACTATTTATAATAATCATGTACGTTTTCTCACAGTTAGTTCGAGCTACGGACAATGATCGTGCGCGTTAGTGTCCTGCCGGGGGTCTTCACAGTATCACCTCGCGATGTGTCTTAGTGTGACTGTGATTACGTTACTATTATTTGTGAGTACTAGCCCTTATTTTATTAGCTTTATCTATTACTATGACCTTTTTAGATCTTAATTCTTTGTTATTAGGGCTTGATAGGAAGGAATTAAATTATTGGAATTATCTTCAGCCTTTTTAAGGGGATGAGATGCGTTGTCGCTATTGTATTTTTTGTCTGTTCAGAAGAACTCGATATAAATTCTGAAACATTTGATCAAAACTGGCTAGAATTCTGGCTTTGGGGAACTGAACTTTATTTATATAGGTACTTACTAACTCAAATCATCCATAATCATGAATTATTTTAGTAGAAACTTTTTGTCTAGTAGTGGACGTCCTTCGGCTGAGAAGGAACGAAGCAAGCTACTATCTATCCTATTTGCTGACTGTGCTATTGGTGAAGGAAAGAAAGAAATACTTTATAATGTCTTTTCTACGTTTCCAGATAAAAACAAAAGCCGACAGCGTAGAACATGGCGACCACTTCAACACAGCGTACGCGCCGCCAACCGTCAACTTCAACGAAATCTTCACCAACAGCCTCTCCCTTCTATCCGAAGAACCAACTTTGACTACTGGAACAAAGGATGAGGACTTCCATCTCAACAACATACCGTCTCAATTCGTCGAATTTCGTCCTCAAAAAGTAGAAGTCACTACGACCCCAACGCCCCCTCCACCAATGTATCTCCTGAATTCTTCGTATTTGAAAAAGGAAAACGAAACAGAAGAACATCGCAATACGACGTCAACGACTGCTGCTGCTCCGATCGTGTTGTCAACTGAAGCACCACAAGAGAACTCTGTGAAAGTGATACCCATAAAGAAGAACTACCAAAGAGGTGTCCTAGATTTGCTGTTCCCAGCGTCTAGGGTGCGCGCATTCAAAGGAGTTTTTGATACTTTTCGACGAATACTGTCGCATACTTTTCGCAGACGATAATGTATTTACTATTAATACTGTGTTTTATTACGAGTTGAAATTGGATAATATGAGTATTAATGGAAGAACATGGTTCATGTTCCTATGATATTTGAGATTTTATAAAGAAAATTTGTGTCCGTTTAGGGTTTCATGGAATTTTTGTGTCTACTTTTTGCTAGAATCGTAAAGACGTGTATGTTTATTGTAACTTAGGAAAAGATGATGATACTTAGTTACTTTTATTCCTCAACTCTTTCCAATGTTTAGTCAATTGATTGATAACTCTTATCAAATTGAAGTTCCTTTTTTCTAAAAAAAACTATGCTTGTTAATACTTGTTTTTCAATTTACAATTTGCCATATTTTTTTGCTAATTTCACTGCTCTCATGCAAGTTGCTCAATGCCATCATTATTTTAAACACGTGTGTTTAGTTTTTATCAAAATGTTTAATAAAATTGTTTATCCTCTCTGGTCTTTTAACTGCATCCATCATGACGTTACGCCCCGGACTGGTATAAAGAGCATTGTAACAAGCACTCCAATGCAGTTTGTCCAATTTACAAGACCCCTACGATTTGCTTGAAAAAGTTGCGAGAAAGTTTGCTTTCCCAACACGACTGATCAGCGTGGGGAGTGTAGGTTAAATCCTCCATTTGCCTTTGTAAAAGTAGAGTCCTAAACTGGAGACTTTATGTGACTTTTTCCTTCGGAAAAGAAGGTTAATTCAAGCCTGCAATATTCTAGCCAAACTAAGAAGAAATACCTACACAAACTATGTTCCGCTTGGGAATTAAATGAAAGACCTAAACGAGAGACTGGACGTGACTATAAGTATGGAGCCGTAAATATTGATATGCAAAAACTTGTAGACCGTACTGAACCTGCTCAACAAAATAGTACAATATTACTAATGAGATTACAGTACTTCGATTGATTTGCCTTCGTTCAAATATGTAACAGTAAAGCATCAAAGAAATTGATCATTATGTTTTGATAACGTTAGCTACATCGACGACTCGTTCGAGTTTCAACAGAACCATCAGTAGGGGTCCGAACACTGAAACACTCGACACAACAGGACGTGCTTGACTAAAACGTGATTCTCGCTGATTGCAGTAATTACACTCCAAGCCGAGCGTTCGAGCGCTCGAGAGCAAGCGAACATAGCTCGAACAATTAATTTTTTGGATTACCGCCAAATGTGGCAAGAAAACTTCAAGACAAGTGTTATTACGTTGAACCGACGCTTTCGATAAAAGTATTTCATAATTACTTACACCAACTTTAGATTCCAATAAAACTTTGCTCGAGTTGGGCCTTTAATGAAATGTGGTAGCAATTTAGTGTTATTGCTGAGGAATTTTGTATCCTATAACTACAGATTGTGAAAAACTGAGTACTTCGTCAATGTAACCCTCTAACACTCGTCTCACGAGGGCTTTGTGTGTTACACTTATGTAACTTTTATTTTTCTTTATTATATTTTTAAATAGACTTTCTACATACTCGTAATAAACACTTCAATTTGATTCATGAAGCGGTTATTTCCAAATCTCCACGTAAAAATTAAATTAAATTACGAACTGTCATCCAAAAATTATCTCAAATCCAATAAATTCAGCGTAATTTAAATAAAAAACGTTGTCAGCACGGCGGAAACATTGGCACGCTGTGATTTTCCGTTTTTTATTAAACGAAGTTAAGCCGCTGAGTCAGGCGCGGCGATAATTTCATATTCAAGGGATATCGAGGGCCACAGACAGTTTAAAATTACATCTCTCGTCTCCGTTATTCAGACTTTTTACAGAAATAAAACAAACCTTGCGATATTACGGAACGTCTCTACCAGAAACTAAAATAGTCTCTACTAATTTAATCAGGGAAGGGTATTAAACGTTCATTGTTTACATCAACATCCATTCAATTAATTTAAAGTTGAACTTTTTTTAATGTTTTTTTTTGCCTTTGGTAAGTCAGAGAGATACGTCGACCTGATGATGATAATAAGGTTTGGTTATGGTGGGTAATCCGGGTAGTGTTGCAAATATGAAATGAAAAATACCTGCATAATACCTTTTAGGCACCTGTCCCTCACATATCATATTATCTGTCATCATCATCTCTAGGACGTCCACTGCTGAACATAGGCCTCCCTCAATGCTTTCCATATAGCCCGGTTGGTAGCGGCCTGCGTCCAGCGCCTTCCTGCTACATTTATGATGTCGTCGGTCCACCTTGGGTGGACGTCCCACGCTGCGTTTTCCGGTACGCGGCCTCCACTCCAGAACCTTGCTGCCCTGTAGTACCTACTGCCGATTTCAGGATAGGTACATAAATTCCCTGTCCACTGGACTATTGTGGTGAACTCTTAACACAAGCATAATTAGTAATTCAAGGAGGTATCATCTTTCGGGTCCAGTTTAGGCTAACCATCGCAATCAAAGTTGCGCGTTCGGCTACTACAATCACATCAGACTGTACATGTTTATTGCAAAATGGGCCCTATTGCGACTACATAAGAGACCAGTGTTAAGCTTGACGTGATCGTCTGTACAATTAAAATCATTGGCCAACCGCGAAGAGAGGCTATTAACGAAATTACTCTGAAACAAAACGCTCGATTAATACGTTGCAAAGTTCGCGGAGTTGCCAGAATGAAATTCAAACCGTGGGGGCTTCAGCACGAATGTTTTAATGTTGAGGATTTATTCATTTATCTTCTCTATGGTCCATCTAAGAAGTATTTATGGTCTATCATGAGTATTCTTGCTGACTTTGAGACACAGATTATCTTCCTTGAGGCTAAAGGCAGAGCACATAATGATACGATGGACCATACTATTGAATGGCCTATCGTGAAATAAAAAATAAAGTTGCAATGCTAAAACGTAAAATAGAAATATTTACTATATGATGTCCGATTATATCAAAAGTATTAAATAGGGCTTTAATTTATCAGGTTGAAGCTACAGGCCTTATGAGTTGTTTCCGAAGTAGCGCAGAGGTGAAAAACACAATTTATCTCTAAAAGAAGTTTCAGATGCTCATCTACCTACACTATTATTATAAACAGGAAACATTTTAATGTTTGTTTGTATTGAATAGGCTCCAAATCTGCTGGACCCATTTGAAATATTCTTTCATCATTAGAATTCTTCATAATTCCTGAAGAATATAGGCTATATAATTTTTATTGGTGGTACGAATTTCGCCGGGTCAGCTAGTTTAGAACAAACATCCATCCATTTTATTCGCGTTCGTGCTAGAGACACTTAGTCCAAATTCAGAGCTCGATTTTAATTATCACTAATAGGATGAAGGGTCCGATGGCGTGGAAAGCCAGAGCGATTTAAGAGTTCAAAGAGTTTGTATACATTCAGTTATTTCTTGAAGGATTAAGGTGTCTTAGTTGGATGGTACGTTTTGTGCCTTTGATTTTGGATTAGGAAAGTGAAAGACTTAATGGTCGTTAATTACTAGATTGCGAAAAAATTACTTTTATTTTTGTTGATATATTCTTTTACTCCGACTCACTATCATGGCAAAGGCTAAACTGCTCTAAAAAGTTGTTAAGAAATATTTTTTAAAAACAATCCAAGTCGTGTCCAACAGCTACTTTTCACAAATAAATGTTTTTTTTATTCCCTTCGAAATTGGCGGTAACTAGGTAGTTCAGTATTTTTATGGCTCAAAATTCCTCATGATTTTATCCCCCAAAATCTTTCTTTATTACAAAAAAATATCTCGAAATGTCTGTACCGTTTAATAAAACAAAAGAACCCTACACATAGTAGGTAGCTAATAAAGGTTCTTTCATATTCTGTCTTCGCGGCCCGGACGCGTGCAACCGTTAAATGAATGAACTTTTTAAGTTAAGGTTCCACCAACTTTTTGTTAAGCCTCTCCTACACTGGAAGCCATGCTTTATCATAAGAATCGCCAGCAAGCAAAATGCGTGCCTATATTTTCCTTCATTGTGAACAGATACTCCTTTTGTTAAATATTCACTTTTGACGTTGGCTAAGACATCTTTTTCAACCATGATAAGAGTTTTTGTCAGAATTCAAAGATAAACATTGCCTGGTCAGTCTCATTTATTCCAAACAATGTTCTTTACTCTATAATTTGTAAATTATTGCTAAAGGGCGAAAATATGGGTAAGATTTTAAGCACTGAAAACATAAAAATTGTATACCTAGTCCCGTTTAGTGAATGGTTTTTACTACCTACTAATAATTTATACGTAAACGATATGTATATTAAGGGACTCTTAATAATTGCCCACAAAATAAGACATCACAGGTCAAAAATTGAATTGATCTATTATGAGGAAGATTCACTGCTTACCTGAATGTTTGTTCGTTTCAGCCAAATGACGTCCACTGCTGGACAAAGGCCTCCCCCAAGGTTTTCCATAATGAACGGTCCTGCGCTGCCCGCATCCAGGCTCTTCCCGCGACCTTTACCAGATCGTCGGTCCACCTAGTAGGAGGCCTGCCCACGCTACGTCCGTGGTCGCCACTCGAGAACTTTCCTGCCCCAACAGCCATCGTCTCTACGAGCTATGTGCCCCGCCCACTGCCACTTGATTTTAGTAATTCTGCGAGCTATGTCGGTTACTTTGGTTCTCCTGCGTGTAGCACCTGAATGTAGCATCGCTGTTAGTGTGACGCATGCCTTACTACGCTTTGAGGTCTTACCATGATGAACAACATCCTTACTTTTAATGACTTTTTGCTAATATCCAGCACGTTTTCCCGAAAAACTTCGGCCCGTGAATCCTCCGTTTTCGATATTTAAGAGATACTCTCCCTTTCCTTTGAATAACGAGGCGTAATAAAAAGTTTTGAGCACCTTCCTTAGCTGTGTAGTTATATTAGGTTATCGCCTGTGGTTCTTTGGAAGTAGATCTTGGTTTGTGTATCTCTGGCAAAAATCAATGAAATTTTTAACGGTTTCATATTTAAAAGAACTTATGGTATGGGAGACTTGTTAACAGATTATGATAAAGCTTCGTTCGGTCGTTTCAGCCAAATGACGTCCACTGCTGGACAAATACCTCCCCCAAGGATTTGCACAACGACCGGTTCTGCGTCTACAGTCTTCGGGTACATGGTCTTGCTCGTCACAATTTGTCCTCAGCGAGATGTGATCCAGCTACCATAGTCGGTTTTGTAGTCTGATGAGCGAATCAGGAAAGAAGGCCGTCGAAAGATGTGACGCAATGTTAGAAGTATCTCCTTCTTTTGATGAAGTCGGTTAAAAATGAAATCAAAAGTAGAGCTGCATATAGAGCGTGAAAATATTTTTTCTTGTTCAACCATTTCAGATTTGAAGATGTTTTTGAGCTTGATGATTAGTACCTACCTACTTTCTGAAAGAAAACAATGGACAAAATAATCACAAACAGGAATAAATTAAAATAAGTACGCAAAAGTAATTGTAAAATGCACACTCCAGAAATTCAGTACAATATTTAATTCCAAATCAGCCACGTATGCAAATAAGCTTAAAAACGTTGGACATAAGAGAAAATATGTCGGCAATTATACTAAACAGAAAATTAAATATGAAAATCTCTTTGTCCGGCGTGTGTCCGGAGTGTCCGGCTCGGCGGTTGCTATGCAAATGGCGGCAAATAGACGAGTGGCGACACCACTCGGCCGATGGGGGTATTATTTTAGTTTTGAAATGTGTACGAATTTAATCTACATCTACACTTTTCCACTAATATTTTGAATATTGTTAATTTTGGTTTATCTAAAGACATCTAAGTTTGTGTCTAAGTGAAGATCAAAGAACGTTATTACGTCTCCTATTTCGCCATAAGAACATCATAGATTCATACAAAATTGTCGGTCGTAAAATGAAGTCGATTAAAAGGACTTTTCTGACTAAAATTCAACCTTTCATCATTACATATGAACAGACGACGGCGTCCCAATTTTGAAACTATGATGGATCTTATGTAGTTTGCAATTAGTTAGATTTTGCATCAAAACTGTGTAGACTGATGTGCTGTTAACTGTTTACGGAACCGTGCATTCTTCTTCATTAACGGAACAAACAAGACGCACAGAATCTTTCTGGGAAAAATACCATCTGACTCGATTTCTGAGAAAGCATAACTCAACGTATAAGGCACTCTCTCGACAGCCGATAAAGTATTATACAAGCATGTCACGATTGATCAAGACGGTTATACTAGGCGCGTACGCAGCATTAATATACCAATTCATTCGAACAGTCTTCCTAACACGACACTTAGAGTTAATCGAAATCGACTACATACTCGATACAAGACCAAGCAAATTGTTACAAAGAGAAATGGTAAGGCGAAAACAAGTGGCCTCAGTGATGAATCTGCATTTCAAGAAACTGGACAGGCTACCGACCGATTACAAGTATATACTGAAATGGACTGATGCATACGCGCATTATATGACGCCGTTGAAAAGGAACCACCAAAATGTTTTCGTTGATTCCAATTGCTCGTTCGTCAATTGCTATCTAACGACCGATAGGCGTCTTCTCTCCGACGTCAGGCACTTCGATGCTATTTTGTTCGACGTCGAAAATAATTGGGACTTCCATCCCCTAATCAGAAGTCCTTACCAGAAGTTCGTATTCGTTGCAATGGAATCAGCAGCAAGCTATCCTTTATGCTACAAGGGTTGGGATAACTACTTCAACCTCACTTGGACATACAAACTAGACTCTGATATCCGATGGTCATACATTACTGTTCTGGACAAAAATGGTACGGTTGTTGGTCCAAAAGTAGACATGAATTGGGTTGACCCAATGGATCCTGCTCCAGAAAGTGTGATGAAGGTCATAAAAGGGAAGAATAAGACGGCAGCTTGGTTTGTCTCTCATTGCAAGTCCAAGGGCAAGCGAGAGGATTACGTGGATAGGTTGCAAGCTGCTCTAAGGAAGTATGGGTTGGAAGTTGACATATTTGGATGGTGTGGAAAATTGCAGTGCACCAAAGATCGGCTGTCAGATTGTCTGAAAATCGTGGAGCAGGAATATTTCTTCTATCTGGCATTTGAGAATTCCCTCTCGGAGGACTATGTGACTGAGAAGCTGCTGTATGCTGTGCATCATCACACTGTTCCTATTGTTTATGGTGGCGCTAACTACTCACGGTAAGTAACTCTTAATAATAGCTAGCTACCGAACATAAAAATTACTATTTGCTAAGGTTTCTTAGCTTTCTTTAAAAATAAGATCCTTTTTGAAAAAGGGAATAGAAATGAACGAAATAAACTTGTTATTGAATTCCAGATTCCTTCCCCCAGGTTCGTATATAAATGCAAGGGAGCATGAACCTAGAATTGTTGCTTCTATGATGCATAAGGCTATCAACAATCCTCAAGTTTACGAGGATTATTTTCGGTAAGTTGTTTAGCTCTGTATTATAACAACGCAATTGTCTAAAATCTGAATCTGTTAATAACTGATATATCATACCCCTAAGGTACTCTGTAACGCGTTAATAAGTAAATTAAAGTATGTCACAATATATCAACACTGTTATCGCCTCGAGGTGAGGAAATAAATTATGGTTACAGTTACGAGGTGCTAGACTTCGAAGTTTTGCAAGACAATATATTATTAGAAAAGATTGTATTCTAAATTGACATCGCGCTCTACATTATGGGCGACTTGATATAATTTTATCTATGGACTTTTAACAATTTCGTATTAAATTAAGTATTTTTTTATTTCTCAGGTGGCATAACTACTACACATACAAGCGCTCGCCTGAAGACACTGACGTTTGCAATCTGTGCGAGCGTCTCAACGAGCCCTTGACATTTAGAGCTGTGAAAAACCTAAGAAAGTGGTGGCTGGAGGATTATGAAAAAGTTTGCAAGGTCGAAGTACTAAAAAACAACACTGAAAAGCGTAAGAACCTACGTGATAAAATTGTTGCAGAGGTTTCTAAAAATAAGTTTACTCCTAAGCGAAATTTGTTTTAATCCGATTGTCTTTTGTTATTTTTAAGCTGGGTTGCACCATTTTACTTAACTACATAAGTATAACAAACGTCAAAAGTCTGTCAAACTCAATAAAAACATGGGATAACGTTATAGCAACGGTTAAAAGGTGGTGCAACTCAGCCAGACGTGCCTTTACGAGTAATTTGTGAACTAATTTAAATGTAGTTTTCAATTTCAATTTACTGAGATTTATCGAGAAGAATAAATAACATGTTTTTATTTTATTTAAATAGTAATAAAGACTGGTACTTTCTAAAGAACTGATGGGCTTATTCCAGTTTTACTTTAATTCTTCATTATTCCACTCGTTAAATTACAGGGTGTTCAAAATTAAAATAATCAAGTAAGTTCTACTTATAATGAATTCGGTGGAGATCAGTGGCAAAAGTGAATCTAAAATTGCAACGCTATCCCGTGACGTTCAATCGCATTCCCGGTGTTCCCGCTCTGCCCGCGGGATCTGCAACAATCCTCTTAGCGCCCCCTCATTATTCAAAGCCTCAAATTTGCAGGAGATAATTCCAATTAGGGAGTCATCGCCATCGCGATTCAGGGATCCGTGGCCGTTTGCGAATTTATTGCAGTGGTTCTAGACTCTGTGCAGAGTTGCAATTTTGTGCTATTGTAAATTCATTAAAACACTGCTGAACTTTCTCAATGATGACAATATTATTTCACTGCACATCAACACAGTGGACAGATAACCTTATAAAGGTTCCATGAAGGCGCTATAATATGCAGGCCACTACCAACCGGTCATTCTGGAAGTCATTGGGGGAGACCTATATTCAGCAGTGAAAGTCCTGTAGCTGAAATGATGATGATGATAAATGGTAAGAGTAAGGCTGAGTTGCACCACCACCACCTTATTTTAGCTGTAACACTAACATTAACCGTTGCTTTGTGTATGGAGTTTGACAGATTTTTGACGTTTGTCAAAGTTATAGTAAGATGTTGCAACCCAGCCTAAGTATTTGTAGGTTGGTAGTCCTATTCTACTCTGCTGGGTCAACTTTTCGAATATTAAAATACATTTTTATATAAAAATAAATATAAATCTAAAGTTAAGACATCAAAAAACTCATCAAGGTAATCAAACAAGCAATAAAAGTAACTAACTTGAAAGTAGTTTGAGTTTCATAAACATTTTCTATTCCTAACTTGCCAAAAGCTATCTCAAACTAATTTAAGTTGGTAACAACTTAATACAAAAAGTACGTACTTATTACATGTTTAACGAATCTCTCCAACCGTCTGGAGGTCAATTAGCTAAAAATATTTACGAAATAAAAACATGATATTTTCATGTACCTATTTTTAGAGAAATTAGAAGGCAGAATAGAACAGAAACTTTATGAAAGTCAAGTGTTGTTCAACATTACTTACACTAATTTTATTTAATAATTAGTGACTAAAAATATTAATGACCTTTGTTAAGATAATAAATGCCTTCCTAGTCATGGCAAAGTCTCAAATAAATACAGTACATGTATGAGACTATAACATTGTCTACAGGTCAACCCTGCTAGCGTGTGCCATACTAGATAATCTTAACACGGTAATAAATCTATTTTAGACATACATTGTCGTCTAAAATCGATATTCGATAAGATTGCATCTTGTCGCTCATGAAAGGCCGGCTCTATCTATGTGACAGACATTGTGGTACTGTGGTAGTGCTTTACTACTTCCCTAAAGTTAGGTACAAAACAGTAAATAACGAACCTAAATTGATAACCAACTTATATTCTCTAGATTTCCTGGGACAAAGTTTTACAAAGTACTGTCCTTAATGTATAATAATATCTCTTAGCATTTCTTGAGATACCTGGTAAAACTTTTCCGAAAAAGGTAGGTATCTAGTTAATGATCATCACAGTCTTGGGTTCTCAGCATTATCATAGTAGCTGCTTCTGGTGAAAAAGTAATTTATATTAAAGCTTCGTTCCTAAGATGAGAGAAAATCTAATAAATTCCTACAGAACCCACATCTCAATAACCTCACTCTCGCCATTTTTTATGCGAAATATAATTAAAATTTTTCGCTGACACCTCAAAGATTAAAGCTATTACATTCTGACGAGCTACGCAGACCGGACACTTCTGAAGTAAAGACAGTTTTTGCCTATCCAGACTGCTTCAATTTGCAACTCCTTTGTAGATGCTATCCAATTAGACAAATCGCTTTGGATTCAAACTTTCTTTGCGATATTATAGTTTCAATCGACATGTAGTAGTGTAGTTATCGGTAGTAACATCCTGGGATGGGCACTAGACCATTCAGCCGGGCTAGGATGTGAGCTATGATAAAATCTTATTGATATCGATAAAACCTTGTCGCGGCGCGCATCCTAGGCCTACTGGATTGGGCACGGAACCCCTCATTAATAATTGTGGTGTATAACAGTAGGTTGGTGAATGGTGATACCTATTACGAGTAAGTAAATAGTCATATACTATCACTACTTTCTTTTTAACACATTTTTAATGTCTACAAGTTAATATTCGTTATTCCCATATCCACTACGATTCTACAACATGACATTAAACTTTAATTCCAATTAAGACAGAACTATAACAAGTTTTCGTAGTAAAAATATGCAATAGAAGCGCAATTTTATTCCAGAAAGCACATTACTTCTTAATTCCATATTCCGAGCACACAAAACTCCATCTTTTGTGTTGGAAACTTAAATATTCGCTTTATAATGCAACCGAGAAATGTCATTAAAGTAAATAAAGCTAGAGAACTTCATTTAAAGTTGTTGCAGTTTAAATTCCAAGGAAAATAAACTCGGATGACATACATCATTAGTTGCAAATACATACATCTTGGGAACTTTTAACTCGAGGGCTGGCTGGAGGGAAACTATGGAATAATGTGGACCTTCCTCTCGATTAATTAGGAATTTTAGTCTAGAATTCCTTAATTTAGATTTAGGATGTAACTTTATGGGTGACTGTTTAGTAGTTGAACTGTCTGCATTCATCTTCATCGTCATCATTTCAGCCAATGGACATCCACTGCTGAAATTAAGCCTCCCTAATGATTTCCAAATTGGCTGGTTGGCAGCCTGCATTCAGCGCCTTCCTGCTCCTTTATGATGTCGTCTGTCCACCGTGTCCAGTGCATTAAGAACGTCTATTAAATTAAAAGACCCTAGAAATCCTTGGAAAGCCTTGGCGGAGGCTTTTGTGCCTTTGTCCAGCAGTGGACGTCATTTGGCTGAAACGACGACGACAAAAATCCACAGTAATCCAACGTCTGAGATCGTCCAATCATAACTCGAGCGCACTTAAAGCTGCATGCACCAAAATATTCGAATGTACCTGGAACAACATACACGGACCTGCCTGAGAATTTTCCACGTAATTAGATGAAACTGGATGAAACTTACCCGAGGGCTGTTTCATTAATTTCCCTGTGACACTCGCTGTGTGAGAAAGTTCGGTATTTATTTAGTTCGGATGCAACTGAGGTCTTAGTTTAGTTCGGGTTGAATTTGTTAATGGATTGTGTGTTTATTAGTGTCAATACGACTTTGAACTTTCATTCCTCATTTAGTTTGACTTTCTGGTGGGTAAGGAACTGGGGCTGGTTGTGACCTTGCTGGGTAGTTACAACATCAATGTAGCTCAATAGATCATGCTATATTTACTTCGAATAGAGAGTCATAGTACCATTTTTTTATTTAGCCACGATTGCTGATTGTAAATACTACCTACCCATGTCACAACAATCTCCCAGTCACCCCTATCTGGTATTCTAGGTTAGGGATCAATGACAATGAAAGTTTTAGGGATTGGTTTAGAAGAATTGTGTTTTTATTATAAATTGATTTTGATTTGGTTTTGTATACTTCCATTAGGTTGTCAAACAGTGAGTTCAAATTATTCTTCTGAGAAGTATGTAATAGGCTTCTTCTTAGATGGTTCACTCTTTTTTCTTTTTTAAAACTTTAATGTCATTTAATTTATTTATTATTATTTACCTGTAGAATTATGGTAAACAGTGTCTGAAAGAATTAATATACGAGGCTCTCATTTGTTTTCTCCGCAAACAGACTACTAATTTAAGTTCCGGACAATGATCTCATTGTTTTAGTTTTTGCAACCTGTCCCTTACACCCTATCTAATATAGCATTATCGTCATCACGAAACTTCTCCATTGAGTATGGAATCGCAGGGGGGAAGTTCGGCAAAAATAACCACATTAACAAAATCTCCACGAGGGAGCGAACTTGCTAATTAGTTTTACTAACTACGGGATCCAGCCTGCGATGTAGTGGTTTTATATGATTCACGTTAAGTATTTAGGCAACGAGTTTATTAGCGCTGTTACATGTTCTAGTAGGACTAAAAGATAAATTAGGTGGATAGTTGGGAAACGGTTTTTGATAAGAACTGTATATGTGCAGGACGACTACAAATCGGCCGAGCGGAACCCTAAAAATATCAAAAGAAACCGCAGTAAATACATATACGCGCCTATAGCTATAGATATGTAATAAATCATCGGCGCTCGGCAAGTACATCAAAAGACAGAGACAGCGCGAGTGCGCAAAGGACAGCGATAGCAAGCGCGCCCGCGATAACCGCCCGTAGCGCATACGCAATAAGGCTCATATCCGGACGCCTCATAGTTTGTTTACGACTCCCGCGAGTTCGAGTAAGTACTTGCGTATTCCCGAATACGGGCGGACCGCGTATTATTCTAGAAAATAGGCGGGATTTAGCGATATAAAAACAGGCTGCCGGGCCGAACCAAGTATAGTCTTCCACAAGCAAGCAAAGTGACAACAGCGAAGTGAATAGTCTTCTCTAAACAACCGAAGAGAATAGTCTTCTACAAGCAAGCAACCGAAGAGAATAGTCTCCGATAGTACAGCAAAGTCTACGCAAGAGTCTCAAGAGCGCATAGTGAAGATAGTGAATAGAACAACGACTACAGCATAGACCTCGGACACCGTATAGCATAGCGACTTCGGATACCGTATTGACCGGACTCCTACAGCGTGTGACATCGACCGCACCGTGTTCACCGTTTATAGCGTCACACCGCACATAGTTATAGAAGCCACGAAGTACGAAGACGTGACAACGATCCACCACCGATTATAGTATAGTAGTGCAGCGATTGGAGACACCGTCAGCGGAGCTTCTACAGTCTACAGTCCACCGCTCTCCGTTTCACCGCATCCGTACAGCCCACTCCGCTCTTCTACTCCAGTCACAGTTATCTGGCTCCGACAGTTCCGTACAGTTTTCTAGCCGGATAATAAACAGTCCTGCACAATTTTTCTGGTCCTTCGAGCCGGATCGTTGTCTACCGAAGTATCCCGAAGACATAGAACCTTCGAGAACACCGAAGCGGCCTTCGTGAAGTGGCATAGTACAGCACCGATAGAAGATGCCTGTGACAAGATCCAGGAAAGGCAAGGCGAAAACATCGCAGCCCGCTACGCCGCCCATGACGCCATCACCAGAAGACATGACGTCATCACAGTCTGCCGTAACCGCACAGGAGGAACTGATGCATTTGGAGCCTCCATCCGTAACAGACGTCACCGGAGAAGAACAGCACTCGACGGCTTCACCGCGAGAACCGCTCACGCATACCGACTGCGCCCGTCGACTAGCCGAGGCGGAGGCTGAAATAGCCCGCCTAAAGTTGGAGCTTGCCATCGCCCGCCGCAAACTAATAGAGATGGAGTCCGATGATGACGATGACTCGGCATCTTTGAAAGGAGATGGCGACTTACAACCGCTATCACCTGTAACCGTCACCGCACCGCAGCCGACGTCATCGAAGCAGTTTATAGATTTAACAGAACTCGCCACAGCAATCGCAACCGCAGCGCGCGCCGGACAGCAGCCACGGTATATTGAAGAATTGCCGAACTTCAGTGGCGCGCACTACGATTGGCTCGCGTTCAAAGCAGCTTACAACGAAACAGCGAGTTTTTTCAGCGAGATAGAAAATATCGCAAGACTCCGGCGGTCACTTACAGGACGAGCAAAAGAAGCCGTGACCTCTTTGCTCATAGTGAATGCGAAGGCGCAAGATATTATGCGCACATTAGAAATGCGATTTGGCCGACCGGACTCGATCGCACTGTCCGAGATAGAAAATTTAAGGAGACTACAGAGACTCACCGAATCGCCGGAACAGGTTTGTGTGTTCGCTACCCGAATACAGAACAGCGTAGCGACTCTTCGTGCACTTGGGCGGACACACTACCTGTATAACCCCGAGATAGTTCATAGTCTTACCGAGAAGCTTACACCGGCGCTTCGCTACCGCTGGTACGACTTCGCCTGGGAGCACACAGAAGAGGAACCGGACCTCATCAAGTTTAACTGCTTCATCGAGCACGAAGCCGAGAAGTGTGCAAAATTCGCCGCTCCCGAACCGATCTATAGTGAAGACTGTCACCGACACAGCAAACCACAGCCTACCCAGCGTGTCTTCCACATCGAAGAAAAAAGAAGAATACAGAGATCGTCGTGCCCAGTGTGCGACGGCAACCACTCCGTCACCGACTGCTACAGAATGAAACGAGCCGACAGCAGCGGCCGCTGGGAAATCGCAAAACAGAACCGCCTATGCTTCCGCTGTCTTCAACCCTGGAACAGAGCACATAGGTGCCCAGGGATTCTGTGCAAAGTAAATGGGTGCAGAAAGACACACCATAAGTTGTTGCACCACGAAACCGTTACGCCTACCGAAAAAGTGAACGCAATAATTTCGCCTACGCACGTCGATGAAATTGCCGATAGAAATCCGTCAGGCGCTCATCGAGACCTCAGAACAAAGATTATTAGAAATCGAACATCATCGCAAAACCGGCGAGAGTCATCGCAGCTTCCATACCGGCGGGAGGCTTCGTGGCGTGAAAATAGAACAGAGGAAAAACGTAGAAAGTTCGACAACCGCACATCGTCCGAATCACGCCAAACATCACGTAACAGATACAAACGGCGTTCAACAGAATACGTCAACAGACAACGCGAACCGACAGAAGAGAAGAACTGGAGATTGAAGACTCCAGTACCGGCGGGAGCAACAGNAATTGCACACATTTAAAATAAAGTTTGTTTACACTTTGACAACAATAGACTGACATGCATGGTGACATGTGAATGAAGTTTTCAGTTACTGTTGCCATTAAAAGAAATTAGTACCATTAGTTTTCCGCAACATGGCGAGGGTTTTTATGTTCCTGGTCAGGCTATACAGCTTTAAGATGTACCTAGTTCAGGTCAATTGTGTATCTTTAATTCTTTCAAATACTGAAATTTTAGAGATCCGCAATAAAAATTATTAATTTCCGTTAAATCGCCTAGCCCAGGTACTNTTTGGTATCAATTTAAAGATAAAAGTTTAATCTTTAAAATGGTGCTACTTTTTTTGTTCCTAACAAATTCGTTAGTACACAAGTTCGCGTGGAAACAACTTCATGTAAGTGATTCCATACTTTTGCTCGCGAGTGTATATTATGTTATTGTATTGTGTAAAGTTCACGGGTTGCTTACATTATAATATTATGCATGCTGTGGTTATCGTTTGTGTGGGAGCAGTTAGCTAGAGACCTTTGGCTTAATTTTTTATTTCTGTTTAATACTGTATCTCATGTTGATAGTAGGGCATGTAATATCGGAAGGTTTTCAATTCCGATATTGAATTCCGATATTAGATCTCAATATCGGAATTCCGATATTAATATCGGAATTGAGTTCATGTGCTATAAAATTAATATTTGGTTATATTCGTAAGAATTCTGGATTGTTTACAATAAAATAATGATTGTAATCAAAATCTTTGATTTGGTANCTTCTCTAAACAACCGAAGAGAATAGTCTTCCACAAGCAAGCAAAGTGACAACAGCGAAGTGAATAGTCTTCTGAAGTCAACCGAAGAGAATAGTCTCAAGACAGTCTACTCAAGAGTCTCAAGAGCGCATAGTGAAGATAGTGAATAGTACAACGACTACAGCATAGACCTCGGACACCGTTATAGCATAGCGACTTCGGATACCGTATAGACCGGACTCCTACAGCGTGTGACATCGACCGCACCGTGTTCACCGTTTATAGCGTCACACCGCACATAGTATAGAAGCCACGAGGTACGAAGACGTGGCAACGATCCACCACCGATTTAGTATAGTAGTGCAGCGATTGGAGACACCGTCAGCGGAGCTTCTAGAGTCTACAGTCCACCGCTCTCCGTTTCACCGCATCCGTACAGCCCACTCCGCTATTCTACTCCAGTCACAGTTATCTGGCCTCCGACAGTTCCGTACAGTTTTCTAGCCGGATAATAAACAGTCCTGCACAGTATAGCATACAATTATTATGTAAGTAGGTGTCAACTTTTAATACCAAACTTTAATGTCTAACAACTGATGATTTGATTATTAAACTATAATTTTATGTACACAAATAGAGCAGAGGCTCTAGTTCTGAGTTTCGTTTGTTAATTTTTGATTTTGGAGCTTAGTGACAAATAAAATGCCTAAATGCAGAAATGTCAAGACATTTTTATTGATGTAGAGTGTAAATAGCATATAATCATAATTTTAGAGTACACATTGAAATTACTTGTCAGCTTTACCCTGAACTTGTTGCTCACTAACAACAGTTAATAATATACGTAAGTTTACTTACATAAAACTACGTGGCTTGCACGTTAATCTCTGTTGTTGTACCCATGGTTTCGTTTCAAATCGTTCTTTGCACCCATTGTTGTGATAACCATCAATCCGCCCATGTTCCTCTTTGTAAACCTTTTGAACTTATCGTAGATAATTTATTCCTTTCATCTCTATTCACAATATTCAGGGGAAGCTGGATAATCCGTTTGCTCAATATTTCTGAGCACACTTAGGTCTCGGCTTTAACGAGCACTTGTTAGCTTTTAAAACTTATTTTCTACAAGCTGTCTTTACATTGTTGGGTTTAAGTTCACGACTGTCGCTTGAGGAAAATTAGCTTCGTAATGCGAAGCGTGGATGGATGTAGGGGTGAAGTAGAAACAATGTCCTCGCTGTAACTTTCGATTGTTTTTAGGTCTTTATCGCCCGTATTTACTTGCTTAAGTGAAGCAGCAAATCGAACGCACAGCGTTGAATATAGCTCTCTGATTGGTTCGTCTGTCACCCTGTGCGTCCAAGTGCACTGTGAGACCTCATAGTAATGTTTGTGAATTATGATTAGTAGGTGTAATTTTGCAACAAAATTGTATTACAATTAGTCTAATATTCTGTTAACTGTCAATGTACCAAACTTATTCTTCAGTTAAAAGTTATCCGACGATTGAAAAATCAACCCTTACTGGTATTATTCATTTGATTCACAATAAACAAAAATAACACTTCACCCGTTTCCACCATGCAAAATCATAAGCTGGCCAGCTCTCCTCTATTAAAATGCACATAGTATAATAGTATTTGGACTAAAACCAATGCCTACGAAAATGTTAGTGCAAAAACGGTCCGGATTCAAACAATCCCATTCCCATCGATTCTCAACTAATATTTTACACATTCATGTAAAACAAAAACGTATACAGCACAGAATTTGAGATTGTGCAAAAGGAGAATGTGGTAAATGTGAAGTGTGTTCAAAATTTTTCGACTGTAATTCCTCGATTGATAGGCTTTATGTGAAACCTATATGTTTATTATTGACAGCAAATTGTTTAAAATCAAGGGTAAAAAGATCAAGTAAAATCAAGGGTAAAAAGAAAAGATGTAGAGATTTTTTTAATAAACTTAATTTTTTTCTTTGAGTTTTCATGATTTGTAAGTAGCTGAATAATACTCTGAACTTAAAGTTACATCGAATAATAAACTCAATTTGGATAACAAAACTTTTATGGCGATTATTTTTATTTATGGACAAAACGAAGCTTATGTCGAATATCCATGTTGCGCCCTACCCAGTTTCAGTTGGGAGCTCAATTCTCGAGATTGTCGACAAGTATGTCTACCTCGGACAAACGATCCAGCTAGGTAGGTCCAATTTCGAGAAGGAGGTCAATCGTAGAATCCAACTCGGCTGGGCAGCGTTCGGGAAACTACGTAACATCTTTTCGTCCAAAATACCCCAATGCCTG